AATCTGCCTTGAAGCTTGTGCTTCATACTGCCTACCAGAACAGATGGTACCCACATCTCATTTAGAAAGTTTACTTGTATCCACAGCAGTTAGATACCAGGATAAAATTAAAGGCTATAAATTATAAAGGTTTCTCTACCAAAAGCATACCCTCTCCTTTAGGATATCCACATCTTCCTGAATTGTCTATTTGGATTTTAAAGAATAAGTCTAAAGACCCTAAACAAACCCTCAGGACAGAGGCTCCCTCTGATGCTCTCCTTCTGCTCAATCCATAACAGATACCACGTAGACTAGGCAAGAACAAAGCGCACTGGCCCCTGAGAAAACAACCAGTTTTTCAACCTCAATCAGGTAGCTGATGATGAATTAAAACTCCTGAGGTAGTTCTGAAAATGGTTTACTCACTCTTTCTGCCAAACCTTCACAATGACTGCTTCCAGCAGTGTCACGGTTCTCTGCTCAAGACCGTCTCTCGAGCTCCGACACAGCACAAGGGGCCACATGATCCCTAAGAGCAGGGTGACATTTTTGATACCATTCTCAGCTCTGGTTGTCAGAGGGGTGGATGGAAGGAAGGCCACCAAAGTAGCAAGACGCTCAGTTCTGCAGGATTACCACAGTCACAGAGGCTGTGTTTCATTTGTGTGGTTCTGTGGCAGCAAGCCCTGCCAGGTACACGTATCCATAATACAAGAACACTGCCGCTACTAACTAAAACCAAAAGGACAGTAGCAACCACAAGGAGTTCTGTGTTTGGGTGAGCGCCAGCAGGCACAGTTCAAGCGCCTGAGCCCGTTCCAAAGCCAACGACTGCAGGGCAGCTAGCTGGGTGCCCGGGAGGCTGGCACAAGGCTGGAAGCCCTTCCAACACCGCGTGTGGCTCATGCAGAGCATTCTGTGGGGAGGCTTTCTGCAAGGCTCCATTCACCATTTATTTTTCGAAATTAGCAACGAGTTGACCACTAAACTAACGCTGGTCTCAGAGCTGCGGCCAAACTCCCGCGGGGAAGAATAGCCCAGCACGCTGAAGGCCAAACTCTGCAAACATCACATCGTTTGGGAATGCTCCGCAACTCTTCCGAAAGCCGGGACAGCCCAGCGACCTCACAGCACGCACTCCGCAGCGCACGGACTTCAAGGAATGAACGCAGTGTCGGTGTCACTTCACGCATTCACTTTTTATGGCTGGAAAAATCCGCGGCCAAGGCGTTACGGACAAACGCGGAGCCAAAGCGACTCGCTCGTAACCCCGCAGATCCTCCGCACAAGGCACGGGGTTGTTTTCCACGGCGGCCACCCGACGCAGCGAATAGCTTTGCCCTCTGTTGGGCGCGCTCAGCTCCGCACCGCGAATCGGCAGCGCCGGGGCGCTGGGAAGAATCTCCGCTCAGCTCCCAAGCAGCAGATCCCCAGCCGCGAATCCGCCGACCAGACATCACCGCTCCGTTGCTCGCCACGAGCGCAGGCACCCAGCCGGCCGCTCGCCGGGCAGCGCGGCCGTGCCGCTCCCGTACCCCGCCAGCGGCTCTCCCAGCGGGCAGCTCCGGCGAGAAGCGCGGCGAACGGGGCCGCCCAGCCGAGCCCGTGGCTCTCACCCCCCGGGCCTCCCCGTCGGGCTCGCGGCCGCCCGCCCCACCGCCCAGCCCCGGAGACGCAGACGGCCGCCGGGATCCTCTCCCGCCCGGCGGCGGAGTCGCGGCGGCAGGAGGGCGCGGACCCCACGCGGGCACGCAAACACGCGGAGCGACCGACCTGCCTGCCGCCGCCCCATGCCGCTCAGCCGGCACCGACCCGCCGCCGTGCCCCGCCGCCTTCCCCCGGCGGCGGCCGCAGTCGCCGCCGCTTTCCGCTTCCTGTGCCCGGCACCGCCCCGTCCCTCCCCCGGCTCCAGCCGCGCGGCCCGGCCCTGCCGGCGGGGTGCGCCCGGTCCCGGCTGTACCGCGCTGGGAGCGGCCGCCCCGCCGCGAGCCTCCCCCTCCGGGGCCCGGCCTCGCCCCTCACCTGTCGTCGGCGCGGCACGGAGAGCCGTCCCTCCTCTCGCCCTCCAAACCTGCGGCCCCGTGTTTCTCTCCCTCCCTGGCGAGAGGCTGCTGTCTGCGCTCCTCGCTCGGAGAGATCTGCGGTGAGGGAAGGCACCCCAGCACTGAAGGCCTAACCCACCGTGCCTCCCACCCTCACCTTTTCTGTGCCTGCATGGTGCTCCTTTCTCTAGGACAGCCCGTTTGAAAAAAGGTCTGGGGCCATACAATGAACTCACAGGTGAGAATCATAGAACGGCCTGTGTTAAAAAGGACCACAATGCTCATCTAGTTTCAATCCCCCTGCTGTGTGCAGGGTCACCAACCAGCAGACCAGGCTGCCCAGAGCCACATCCAGCCTGGCCTTGAATGCCTCCAGGGATGGGGCATCCACAGCCTCCTTGGGCAACCTGTTCCAGTGTGTCACCACCCTCTGGGAGAAAAACTTCCTCCTAATGTCTAACCTAATCCTCCTCTGTGAGAATGCACAGAAGAAAGCCAGACCTCCTAGATTCCAGTCCTGCAACTTGAATTACTCAAGAGCAATGCAGCCAGTGAAAGGAATGAATGCAGATAGCACTGGAGTTACTGCTGTCAGATAGTTTCCGCAGCACATTACTGTGTGTTCCAGCACATGACAGGGCTGGAAGAGACTGCTATCAAGCGATGGTGTCCATCTTATGTTCTGTATCAACTCGTGCCCAAACCTGCCTGAGGCACCAGTGCCCTGCTGCATTCCTCCCAACTGCCCAGTGCTATGTCTGGTGACATGCTGACAGTTGGCCTGAATCTTGAAAGTCTTTTCCAACCTTAACGATTCTGATTCTGTGACATCACACTGGGCCCAGCACTGATCCCTTTGCTCCACAACTGCACCAAGGCAAAGAAGGGATGTGCTGATGGGCTCAGAGGCAGATAGTGAGGTGCTGCTACATGCTTATCTTTCATCATGCTTAGACCACTGAGACATGAGGAAGCATTTGGCAAGAGTCAACCTACTTGCATGGTGGGATCATAGTTTAGGAATTTGTAAAGTGCTATGCTCATGGACATTATGTTTTTCAGGATATCTTGATCTAGCTGTGGGTGTCTGGGTTCAGTATCGGGGAGTTCAACTTGATGACCTTTAAAGGTCCTTCTGATTCTATGGCTGGTACTGCTTTGTGGCATGCATTTGGAACAGATGAAGTGTCAAGACCCAGACAGGACACAAGGCCTGTTTCATGATGCCGCACACAGAAAAGGGATATCAGATTCTAAATCCTTTTCTGCAGCTGACTTGCCTATGTTCACCAAAACCTCTTAATTTCCTCAAAATTTGTCTCCTTACCCCTATATAAATATATGCACACGCATCATAGAATCACCAAGGTTGGAAAAAGACCCCTCAGGTCATCTAGCCCAACCACCAACCCACCCACCATGCCCACTAACTGTGGCTCTCAGTGTCTCATCTACACGGTTCCTGAACACCTCCAAGGTGACTGCACCACCTCCCTGGGCAGCTCCCTCTGCCTCACCACAGCTTCTGACAAGACATTTTTCCCAATATCCAACCTGAACCTCCCCTGACATGAGTGAATGCACGTGCTACAACTTCAAGTTCACTGAAGTAGGCAAGGAAAGCTTTGCACTTACTTCAATAAATAAATTAATAAAAGAAGCAGTCAGGAAAAAAACAAACTTTCTCAGGTCTTACAAACAGCAGCTTCTGACTTCCCTGAACACTCATTTGATTGTTTTATTTATTTTCCCTTAGAAGCATGACTAATATTCTTATTTTTAGAGGAAAAAATATTTGTAATTCTACTAATCTTGTTACTGCATTCTGGTTTTTGCTCTGAAAAACTTACGTTGAACAGCAGACCACGGAGAAGTGCATTTTTGGTCACATGTGTAGAACACAAGTGATCTTGGATCTGCTTGAATAGTCACTTTCTGTAACACAGACATTATCCCTTCTTATAACAAACCCCTTTGTGTTTTGAGTCATTCTGTCTTAAATTTTAGTTTTCTGATCATAGTTCATGGCCAGCCAGCTATCCTGTCAAATTACCTAAATAAACCTCCACGTACTCTTCTAAAATCATCTATTCTAAAGTAGCGGGAGCTTTCACATAACTTTGTTAGGTTACACTTTTAGATCATGTTAAATATGCTAAAATGTTTGCTTCTTTTTTCTCCCTCCATTGATCATTAGATTCACTTGGTTTTAAGTACACCGGATATTTATTATTACATTTTTCTACTGATCATTTTTGTGAGCTGGATTCTGCCTTGTTTGGAGACACATAGAATATTTTTGTTAAGATACTGAGGCTGAAACTGATGTAGATTTTCCTGTCACCTTGGAAACTAGTCTTTGTTTTCTCCAAATCCAAACTCCACCTTCCCCAGCACACAGTGAGGTATTCAGTAACAAAAAAAAAAAATCACAGATCTGCATGCATCTGTAAAACTTGACCTGTTTCTGCAGTTTCTTATTGCTTACTGTGTAGGATGAAAAGACCATTCTCAAGTTGGAGGCCACAGAGCTTCCTCACCTAAACTAGAATTTGTGTGCACAATGCTCTGAGAGAATAAGAGGCAGGGACTCGTCTCAAGTAAGAAACATAAGCACAAGCTGAGCTAGTTTGAGTTACTGCTCACTCTTACTTGGCATCAGCTTGACTCTCCAGCATGGGATGAAGAGAGCTGGATGCCCCTTCACAGGTCCTCAGGGATGATACTGCTTGTGTAGCCCATTCAAACAGTGACCTCACTCCATGCCAGTGACCTCCATCTACCAGCATACATCTGAAGCCTGAGTAAATGTGCAACAACAGATATGCACGTGAAGCCATAGTTCAGCTTTTATGCTGCAGAAAATCTTGTTTAGAGGAAGAGGAAGGCCAGGGGGACACAAGTACAAAGAAACACCTTCCTTCCTTTTTGGGGTGGTTGCTATTTAGAAAGGGAAAATGCGTAGCACTGCACAGCTGAAGAAACAGCATGACATTTATTTTGCATAGCAACTAACAAAAAAGCTACAGAGCCCTTCATGGAATTCATCATCCAAAATACACAATTTCTGCCCAAATAAAAAGAAATGGTGGTGGGTAGCAAACTAGGAAAGCTTCATTTGGCAGAAATCCTACAAAACACAGTTCAGGATTCAGCTGAAATCTTATTTCAGATTCGAGGCAGTTGGAGGTAGGACCTTCCTTTGGCTTCTGTAAACTTTAATGTTCAAAAAAGAAAAAAACAATCCCCTCCAGAAGCATATCCTGGGTAAATTCAAAAGGAAAAAAAAAAAAAAAAAAAAAGGGTAAATTACAGGCCAAGAAGAATAGAAGGGGAAAAGAGGATGTCTGTTGACTGACTTGTCTTTAAGTTAGAGGGCTAGAATCTGCTCTGCTCCATCCCCTGCATGTGACACGATCCTTTCAGCCCCCTGTGGGCATCAACTTAGAGGGTAAGGGATATTAATAAGCAAGAAATCGTGCCCTCCTCTCCTTAATATCTGTCAGATGTGCTAAAGGGGTGGGGATACAGGACAGGAGCAGAGTCCCAACTTCTATGAGAAGGAAGCCATGAGGTCTCAACTAGGAATACCTGGCTGTAGTTGCAGTATAGGTTATGCTCAGTGCTTACAAACTTCGGTCACGTGTAACTGCATGGCGGCCAGAGAACCTGTAGCTGGGCTAAGATTGGGTCACAATTGTGCATGCAGCTGCAGAACAAATCTACACACGCTGGAACACTTGGGAATTAAACCTTTTTAAGGGCAATAAATATAAAGGAAATCAAGAGGTAGAGGTACAGAGCTCGAGTCTTCAGACCGAAATTACGCATTAAGCGTTCATTGAAGCTGACCAAGGGAAAAGCGTAACTGACACATTCATTCTGGCAAGGAGTTCATATTTTTCCAGGCAGGAGATCGTGGCCCTGCTCTCTGAAAAGAGGCCCGAGAGCAACGTGTGCTGCTGTAGCTGATTAACAGTGCCACCAGCCGGCCAGCTGGAAGAGTGCCAGCTCATGTAAGGAGTGAAACATCATGTACATCTATTCACCACCACCTTTCACCCCAGGAACGCTGTACAGTCAGACCCTGCTCCCACAAGCCCTTTGCCAAATACAACAAGCATTATTCCTCTGAGAAGCCAAAGAAAAGGTCTTACACCCACAGCGAGGCTTTGCAGCAGTAGTTTCAGCGGGGTCAAAGAAGATAATGAATCACTTCAGCTTTCCTGGTACAACTAACAGCACGCAACAGAAAGTCCAGTTTGGGAAGGCTCCTTCTAGCATGGAGAACATCAGTCAGTGAGACGAACCCTGCTAAGTGTCAGGCTTGATATTAAGTAAACAGATATTGCTACAGAGACAGTGTAGATTCAACAAGTGAAGAGCGTGTTGGCAATTAGACATTTAAAGACATACTTTCCATTGCTTGTGGGGTGACTTCCTTTTGGAAGCTGAGCTTACCAATGAATTAAATTTTGGCAATTCACTGTATTTCTTTATGGACAAAACACCTGCTATCAGAGCTACTGTTGTTGGGTCGTACCCTACACACTAAAGCCAACAGTGCCAACAGCACAAAAAAAAAAAAACCCAAACAACTCAGAAAAGATCTTTGCAATAAAGGTAACATCAAAAAACCTGCACTAAGATTTTCTTTAGTTGGATCAAAGGGTGATGGTACCTTTCACACAGCATTCTGGCCAACAAATAAAAAAAATACAACAGCTGCAGCAGTCAAAGAACTGTGTAATGCAAAAGCAGTTGTGGGAAGGCTGTCATTTATAAAACCAGTCTCAAATTTCAGCAGCCTTGCAAGCCTTTGCCAAGAATTCTGGTCAGGATTCTGCTAGGTCGTAAGTGCATCATTATGTGGTTAAATTTTATATTTGAACAAATGCAAGTCAATTGGGCTTCTGGGGAACTGGAACAATATGTAACAGTTTACACTGTGCAGGTGTCATATGGTGTCATTAATTTCCTTTCATTAATTCCTTTTGAAAGAAATTTAACTTTCCACTGAGAGGCTTGTGTGCATTTAGACAGTACCAGGAAACCATTAAAAGCTGGTGAAGAAAAATATAGTGTGATGTATATAGGGATGAAATATATGAAATCCCTATGAAATATAGGGATGAAATCTGAAAGAGGTGAAAAAAGTCAAATGATACTGCATTCCAAGCCCCAGAAAGAAAATAATGTAAGAGATAACTAGTGACCATAGATGAAAGCATAGATGAAAGTTTAATTTTCCATCTTCAAAACAGATTTAGGATTGTGCCAGCATCCTTGTCCCAAGTCTCTTTGAACTCTGAAGCAGTGTAATTCCATTTTAGAGCCATTGACAATACATAAATGTTATGACCAATAAAAGCAGAGAGGTACAGAGATAAGAAAAGGCTGTGTAAGATATGTTTCTGAAGTGGATGCATACTGAAGACTGTCTACATGGTGTATAAAACGATCCTTGGGTTTTGTGCATGTTTCTCAGTAAAATTTTGTGTCTTCATGGCTTTGAGGCTGTTACTGATGAAGACGGTTGTGAAGCAGAGCCTCTATTTCTAGGGAAGTAGTATCTAATAAAAGAAGTGTCAAGGAAATGCTTTGGAATGCTAGATCTTCCACCCAGAGATTTACAAAGCAAGGAGGCAGAATGCACCTAGAAGGCAGTATAATTTTATCTCTCTTTCAGATTTTCAGTTTCACAGCATTGCTGACAGTGGCACTGTAGAAAAGCATGTTTTCGCAGAGAATTGACAAAAAAGATAAATGTTTCCTTACCTGTAAGGCAAAAGGAGTGAGCTGTTTGGTTATGAGAGTCTGTCCCAAGACACACCAACTCCACCAAGTTCAGCCAAAGAATCAAGATGTAGCTTGCTTGGAACACTGTAATGTATTTTTCTCCAACCTCCTCAGTTTTGCTACTTTCGGAGTCACTTCCATTATTCTGAAATTTCAGTTATCTCCATCACAGACGTGATGTAGGCAGCTCAAGCTGATGGCTGCCAATAAAAAAATTAGCTTCTAGTTCCAAAAAAAATTCTGAGAGACATACTGAATCACTTTAATCTATCTTTAGTGCCTAAAGCAGTACGTCCTTACCATGTAACGAGTACCTGGATGATAGTGAAGTCAGATAAATCGAGTTTTCAGCTGGATCGTGGCATCTGTTTCTTGCCTCATTTCCTTGCTTTTTACCCACCAGGATATTTAGGGGATCACTCCAGAATCAGATTATGAACCAAACAAAACTTATTATGAAAGGATACACGAGTGTGGGGATACCCCGTGCTGCCAAGTGCTTGTGGATGAGCCGTTCAGTACCATACCAGTTGAAATCTTTTGTTGCATACCCAATACGTGGAAAGTGCACTGTTGCTGAGAAGTGAAGAAAGACACTCTTTAGGACAAGATACTCTTAGAGAAAGCAGTCTAGATAAGGAGTTCAAGCTACCCAACAAGACCAGAAGGAATAATTTGAAACGCATCATATCCATGGAAATCTCAATCTTACTTCACTTCAGAAAAAAAAATAAAGGTGGAAATTGACCATCACACATGTTTTTATGGAGTCACTGTTCTGCCACACAACCACTTACCATTCCTTTTCTTAGCTGCTGAATAAATCTTCTTCAGGCCCTTTTCCAAAGCAGACAGCTTAATGCCAGACAAGTTGTTGGACCGATCCCGGTGCTGAGCTACAATCAAGGCCAACTAAGGAGAAAACACACAAAAAAATGAAATGCAATCTAAATACAGCGCTAAGAGACACAGCAATAGTTGCTGGAAAACTGCATTATTAACGATTAGCTTTAATAAACTCTAAATAAAACTCTCATTTTTTCCTCTAATGGCAATTCAGCCTTCTTCAGTATTCAGGGCCATTATTCTTGGGAAAAAGACATTAAGTTCGCTGAACACAGTTTCAAAATCATGTAAAGAGAGCAACTCAAAATGGATCTTCTCATTCTCACCAAGTCTTGTCCTTTTCTCCTGGATTTTTTATCATCAATGGGAAATAACAGGGTCCCTCCTAACTGCAGGTCTGCCCAGAAAATAAGAACAGAAGAAAAACAAAGAAATAAGTAAATCAGTCCTGAAGAGTCAGTAGTGAGTGAACACAGCAGATTTCACTGTCATATCTGTGTTATTCTTCTTGTCTGTCTCTTCATAATGGATTCAACAGTCAGAGCGCAAGGAAACAAGACAGACATAAACCCACCCCAACACACAGAGACACACCACCCAGTTAAAAACCACAGACAGAAAGAAAGACACTGAAACAAGAATAAACCAGAAGGTTAAAAAAAAAACAAACAACCAACAGGTCCTTCTACAGCAAGATGGGCATTCTTATCAGCTGCAGGTAGCTCAGAACTGCTAACACTTATTCAGGAGATTAATGTTTGGAGAGAATAAAAATTACAACTGGACACTGACTCAGATGTCTTTCATCCTTCTTAAAAGCACTCTGACAAAGATGATGGGCTCTACCTTCTATGAGGAAAAATAACATGTGAATGGTGATTTTTTTTTCTATTTTTTGACAACTTGCAGAATTGATCAGATCAACCAACTCCTATGCAGAGTTCCCAGACTCCCAGCAAGTCAAGTCAAACTGCTTGAAGAGCTAAGGATACAAATATCTAGAGAAAGAGCTAAAAACCACAACTACCAGGGTATTCAGATTCCTCACTCCTGCAACATCATAGGGATTGAAACTCTTAAGCACCTTCACCTAGGGTCATGTTTTAATCTCTTACCTACCTTTCATCTTCCCTGCCATCTCATATATTCTTCTTGGCTGATCAGAACGACTCACCAGAGCTGTAAACAAACCACCCCTTCCCCAGCGACCAGAGTCATCTAGAATGCAATGACAGATCAGTTTTTTAGAAATTGAAATTGAAGACCATCCCAGAAAGAAAAGGGGCCTACTCTGGCCAAATGCAATGAATCACCATCAAAAACAGATGTGAGAACCACAGGTGAATTGAAGTGAACCAGCTTGCAAGGGACTATCCTAAAGGATCAACCTCAGCCACTGAGGAAAAACAAACTTGTCACAATTCCCTGAAAAGACTGCAATAAGAATTCCTTCCGCCTGCCCACTGTGGATATTCAACCAAGTATTTATCATAGTAATGAGCACATAAAAATGTCAGTGCTCTCATACCCAGGGAGAACACGCACATATTATGTCCTCAGATTGGTGTTTTGGGCTTCCCACAACTAGATGTTTGTTATTTGTGGGCTTTTCTTGTCACTTGGCATTTCCACTTTAACCACGAGTTTTTATGCTGAGTTTAACATAAGCCAAAGCAGCTTATAAGATTCTGCTAGGGCCTTGGTAAGAGCTTCAACACTGATTCTGAAAGAACTCTGCAACCTGAATTTCTCTCCCTCACCTTCAATGTCTTGACAGAGGTCCTAAAACTAGCAACAAGCTAAGAGTGCAGTTCTGACCTCAGCCTCTGAAATAGTCCATCTCTCTCTGCTGACTGCATAAGGGAGGTGATCTTCAATATCTCAGTTCAGTCCTTACAGCTTACATGGGATGAATATAAGGCCTTCACCTCCAGAGGCACTGTCCCTACTTGCTCACAGAAATACAGATTCTAGACATATCTTTCAAGAGGCTTACCCAGAAACACAGACCCATATATCTCTTCCTAACACTTGTGTGGGTTATACATTGTGAAGTAGAGTCTGTACTGCCCCTACATCACTCAAGATCAAGTCAGACTCAAGATGATTTCAGTGTGGTATGGAGTTAAAAAGTACCAAGCTAGGATGTACAACTCAGCCCTTTACCCACCCCACTTTGCAATAGTTCTGTTGTCATAAGTCCTACCTAAGCAGTGGACAATAATGGCATCCTCCTCTTCTGCTTTGGGGTGGGTGACATCTCCCATGACGTACTTGATACAGTTTAGGTCCACATCTCTGTAATCCAAATCTACATTCAGCTCAGCCTCCCCCTCCTCAAACTCTTCCTCAGACCCACTTTCCTCTGAAGGGAGACATGTAGATGTGTAATGATTTGACTCCCACCAAGCCATCCTGAAACAAGAGAAGAAATTCAATGAAAATAAGCAAAGACGGGGGGGAGGGGTTCTACAACTTTTTTAAATGACTACAGCAAAACACTGGAGATCCTGATCTGCATTCCCTCTGCTGCCCTCCTCTATTTTAGATAAGAACCAAGATTACCCCAGCTGGTATCTGTGATTTTAAGTGCCGTGTGCTGGTATGATAGGCATAGAAAAAGTAAGCATACGACAAAGTGGAAGGAGTTATTCACAGTGGTGAAAAGGAAAAATAGAACAAGAAGTTAATATGCATGCCAAAGAGTTACTGATAGTAGAATGAGACACAGGAATCAAGTCTGACACTTCAGATGTAGGTAGGTTGCCCCAAAAGCTCACTATACACTCAGATATGAGTTTCTCATTCAGGCCAGTCTTGATGAGTTAAATTAGATGTAAAGTATTCAGAAATATGCTGATGAATATGAAGCTAACTCTCTCAAGAGATTGATCTGCAGCCATTTTGTCAACTTCTCCTCCCCTCACTCTCAGCCCTACCTTCCAGAGTGGATACAGAACGCATTTCTAGAGCACCCTGTAACAGACACCAATTTAAAAAGTAGTTGATGCACTATGAGCCATACTTTTTCATGTGCTCTGCCTCTGCTTTTGCCTTTCTCCTTTCCTCCATAAGCTTTGCTCTCTTTGCAGCTGCTTCTTGGCGCTTCTTCCTCCTAGTCTCCAGCTCCTCTGTGCTCAACAAGTGTTTCCTCCTTGTTGACTGGTCCCGAAGGCCTGTAAGAAGAGTCTAGAGAAAGAAAGCTGCAATTCAGAAACAAAATGCTCATCTCAAGCACACGTCTGGTGCCCACTTTATGCTGCACAGAATGGCCCGGGTTGGAAGGGACCTCAAGGATTGTGAATCTCCAATTGCCCTGCCACAGGCAGGGCCACCAACCTCCCCATTTAATACTAGACCAGGCTGCCCAGGGCCCCATCCAACCTGGCCTTGAACACCTCCAGGGACGGGGCATCCACAACCTCTCTGGGCAGCCTGTTCCAGCACCTCACCACTCTCTCTGTAAAGAGCTTCCTCCTGCATTCCTTTCCCATTTGTCTACTTGCCCACAGGTCTTAACCATCAGATCCTAGATGTCAAACAAATGGGTGGTTTTGTGATCTAAGTTTATATTAGTGCCCAGCATTCCATCTATGATCTGTTGCCAGAATCGCTGAATTGTCCAACCCTCAGATTCAAGAGCCAACCTTACTACAATGGCATCTGAATCTTTGAACTTTTTTTTTTTTTTTTTTGTGAGCTGCAAGTAAAGAGAGGAAACTGTCAGCTTCATTTTCTACAAGCAGTTAAGAGCATCATATGCTTTGTCATGTCTTTTGCCTTACATTTGCTTTGTTTCGGAGAGCTCTCCCTTCTTTACTGGTCTCTTCGGTCAAGGCTTTCTGAAGATCCAAAAGCTGATCAAATGCTTTTTTATCTTCTCTGCTGGGTTCTTTTGAATAATCTTTGCCTTCATACACATACATGTGATCTTCAAAAAAATAATTTGCAAGTATAAAAAGGAATTGAAAGCCACTAACACTTGAAATATACAGCAAGACCAAAAACAATTAGGCTTCTCTGTTACACTGTTCTACCCTCAGCAGAAAAAGATATTTACTGTCTTATATATGACCGGAGTCAACATAATGTTAAAAGAACAGAATCAAGATTTGCTTCCTCAGACAAAAGCTTCAGTCACAGATCTGTATTTAAGTGCGATAGTGTACTCAAAGCAGAAAGTCAGTCTGTCTCATGGTACTACAAGAAAGTATCCTTAAAATTTATTCTCATATAATAGAGAATTAATCACAATTAAGGTACATTTTTAAGGGAAAGTAGAATAATAAAGACAAAATATGTTTGTTCTAGCTGTTCAGATTCAATGGCTCTGCTTTTCTAGTCTCATATTTTGAGTTTTAAGGTCATTTTAACTTGTGTTTTTCATGGCCAATAATCTTTTGTATGGAGACAGATACAAAAGAGTTATTATACACTTTTTCCTTAAGTTATTGTTATCTCTGTATGTCCATAATTCTATCTTAATGATTCTCCATGAGAATAATAGCAGCTGCCATTTGAGTATTTCTTCTTTTGTGAGGTCTCAAAATATGTGAAACACATTAAGGAATTCAGACCTGCTGGCCAACAAGCCGGGCACATGTTGTTATCAACATTTCAGGCAAACAAGGTTGCAAAAAGAAGAAAAAGACCAATTTAAGCTCAGAAATCGAGATCATGGGCAGCCCAATTTTCTTGTTACCTAAAAAATACCACCCTTCCCTAGGAAGCCTCCTCTACTATTTCCCAAGTGTCATGCACTCCATAGGTATTTCAATTTGTAACTTACTTTCTGTGTCATCCTCCTTCTTCTCTTCTTCACATGGCAGGACAACATCCATTACCCACTTCCCTCCTTTTGTCTCTCCAAGGATGTTTTCCAGCTCCACATCCTGGACAGTACTTCCCTCAGAGGACAGCAATTTATCTAAGCCAAATTTCAGGATTTCACTCAGCTTTATCAACGAGAAAAGGAAGTTCAGTATGAGTATCTTCTATTTCCACATGCATCCCTATGACTCAAGCTTCTCAGACATAAATGGGAAGGTTGTAAAAGTGAAGAAATCTAATCCTTTGTACTATCTGTCAAAATACTTGCACTTTAACACGCTCATTTGTCTCAACACCTATTGAGACAGGTCCCTGTAATGTATCTCCCCCAAACATACTCACTCAGACTGGTAGGGTCATTTTTCTCTACAGGCCAAATAACAAAAATGGCATAATTCTGACTGCACTCAAGAAGCTTTATTATAGCCAAAAAATCTGGGATTTTTGCCCCACCTCTTAATAAAATAAAATAAAATCTTATATCCCACAAAAATTTGCAGGGAGCATAATGTCAGCAAGGAATTTCCTTTGGGCTCAGTTCCACTTCACCCTATAACTACTGAGGTACATGCTGATGAAGGAGCAGGGGGTGCGAAAAGATGCATTAATTCCAAGCCTCTCCCAGGTTTACCTCTGTAGAGGAGTGTATGGGAGCTGCTGAGTCACGGCCTGAACCTCTGATTGATCACCTGAGGCGAGCAGTGAGGCAGCCAGAGGAGCACAGGTGAAGGCAATTCTCCTGTGCTGCCAGAAGGGATGGAGCCTGGCTTCACCCCTCCTAGACCTATTTAAGAGCTGGCTACCAGTGGGGAAGGATCTCTTCCGGAGATCGCCTCTTCTGGTGTTTCGTAGGTGAGCCCATCATAAGGGTAAGCTTTCCATTTATACTCTTTTGTTATCATTGTCCACTTTGCCTAACTCTCTTGATTATATTGTGATTGTAACATCTTGATATCTATTGATTATACAAGGAGATACATCCCTCCAAATTTCACTTTGCTTGATGTTTTCAACCAAAGCTCTTAGCCCAAAACTCAGCTTTTGGGTCAGAATCATAAATCACACCCTGACTCCTGAGACACTGTATCTGCCAAGAGGTTAACTTTTGGAACTAGCAGACTAGTAATCAAAAGTTGTTCAAGTAATTATCATTAGCTCTGTTTGAGAGAGAAGGGCAGGAGAGACAGATAAGCTCCTAGAAACAGTCAGCCTCCAATTTAGACCTGTTATATAATTAAAAAATATACAAGTAAAACATGGGGCATTCTTGCCTTCTCCTCTTCTCCAAGAAAACACATTTTTTACACAAGAGATGCATCTCTAAACTCTAAAAACTGTCTTCAAATTTCAAATCTTGACTGGACCTGGAATGCAATGTTGATTCCTAGGACGCATGCAAAAGCTGTCACGTCAATGCATATCCTCCCCAACTGAAGTGTCTTGACAGGTTCACATCAGACAGATGTGAAAAACAGAGAAACACTCTAGCACTTGTAAGAATGTTACTGAAGTCAACTCAAGGGTTTAGCTCTATTTTACCTGTAAATCTGATGCTTCCTGAGGTTTGCGTACGCCAAAGGCGAACTGACCTCCCTCTACAATGGCATTTGTCAGTCGAAGCTTGGAAGCAGCTCTTCGGTAGATTATTTCTTCAACTGTGTCTCGTCCAATCAAGCGAATAATTTTTACAGGCCTTCAAAAAGCCAAAAAAATTCTTATTATTTTCTTCATTTGAGGTGCACTGAAGTGGTTTTCCGGCACACCACACGATCCCCTTACCCAATCTTTTGGTAGGGATAAAAAGGAAAGAGCAAAATCAACAGACAGCAGTGAGTGGTGACACATTGAACAAGTTACCCAAGGAGGCTGTGGATGCCCCATCCCTGGAGGCATTCAAGGCCAGGCTGGATGTGGCTCTGGGCAGCCTGGTCTGGTGGTTGGCAACCCTACACACAGTAGGAGGGTTGAAACTAGATGATCATTGTGGTCCTTTTCAACCTAGGCCATTCTATGATTCTGTGATAAGTATAATGCTGAAGCAATTGCTTCTTGACACAGGACAAATGCCTGCTGCAAGAGTGCAGGCAATCCTCCAGATTCCATCTCCTCCTCCTCCAAATTTACAAAGCCCCCATCCTAAACACATGACAAGGGTAGGACTGCATAAGGCTGCAGAAGAAAAGCAGAGACAAAATTATCTCTGCTCTCTTTCTTTGACCTTCAATCTAATTCCTATAGGGAAAGAGACACAGAGGGATCATAAATTAAGCAACATTTCTCACTTGTGCTGCCCAATCCGGTGAGCTCTTGCTATTGCTTGCAAGTCGTTCTGTGGGTTAAAATCACTGTCAGTAAAAATAACTGTATCTGCTGCCGTCAGGTTCATGCCAACTCCTCCTATGAACAGAGAAGAAGATCACAGAGTACGTCAGCAGCAGAAAAGAAAGGCACAGCTGGAGAATTTATGCTATGCAAAGTTCTGTCAGATCTGATCAACTATATTCAATTTATCTCCCAGCCCCAAGTCTGAGTCTCACAAAGATCCAAACAGATGGATAAGCCTGGTATTTCTGTATTTCTCTGTGCTTTCTGCAACAGCTCAAAACAGAGCTGCACTGTGCATTGTAGGGGAACAAAAAAAAAAAAAAAAAAGATGCAAGCAAATTAATAAAAAGGCAATAGGTTGTCAAGACTGATAACATAGACATATTCTTCAGCTGTCAGAAAGACTAATGCAGCAAGAACTGGCTTTATTGAGGGTACAAAGGTCTTCCCAAGCTATGACTTGGCTGAAGCCCAGTAACAACAGGCAAATACACTGCTGAAAGAGTGGGAAACACCACATCCAATCATACAACAGCCAGAGCATAGGTACATATGTGACTTCAAAAGGTTTTGAAGTTAGAGTTCACTGTCATGGAATGAAAAGAAAAAAAAAAAAACAGTTTTTTTTTTTATAGTATCTACTATAGTGACAACATACTACAGCTAAAGAGGGTGGAACCTGTTCAAGTACATTCTTTCCTGCTTGTGCTGAGTACTTCACAATAATCAGAATAATCTTGCAAGTAGAGACAGTCATGCACTTGAAAAATCTCTGCCCATAACACAAGGATGGAAATACGGCTCACGCCGCTGTTCCCAGGTGGATAGAATATGACAGACGTAGCACTGAGCACTAAAAAGCAATTTGATTCTGGTGGACGTGGGCAGGAAGAGTTCAGGCACAGTGTTACGAGAAGCTTTTATTTCTTACACTAAGCATTAGGTGCTTCTCTGCAGTCTCAATATACTCCTCTCCACGCCCTGCAATATTATCAAAGACAGTTTCATTCAGGAAGGTCTGACCAGAAGCCCAAAGGAAGAAGACATAAGAAGAGCCTGATGCTTGAGATCAAGCAGTACTGATCCTCTCTCTGAAGGTAAGCAGAAGCCTGCCCTTGTGCTGGTCTGAATAAAGAGACAGGAAGAACTGAAACCATTCAAGAGACACAGATATGCCTGGGGAGCTAAGAGGAGGCAAAGTACAGGTGGTACTCCTGTGGTGTTTTTTGCAGCCTCTGGTAAGTAAAAAGCTCTCAGCTGAGTCTGTCTGCCAGCCAGAGTGTACATCCATGTTCAGGAAGCAATTCTACCAGCTTACTTAGAGGAAGTCTATTTCTGCCTAAAGTCTGAAACTTTAGAAATAAAGTGCTTGCAGAAATAAAATGCTAGTGAGATTCCTTCAGTTTAACCTGGCACAGGGAAAGGCATTGCAGAGCTCAGAATAAAAAAGTTACTCAAACAGCTGCGACCTGAAAAGCATCTTGGCATCAGCTGCTGAAAGGAAAGCACAGGAATTGAGTCTCCTAGCTAAGAAGCCCAAATTCAGGATGTGCCTTGTTTCTCTCAAAAATCCTCCGTATTAGCAGAATATGGAGGATTCAGAACACCCTGAAATTTTGCAAGACAGCAAAAGAGTGCAGAAGCAAGACATGTGTTGTCTCTCTCTTCCTTACTTACCTGCTCTGGTGCTCAGCAGGAAGACAAAGATGGGCTGTTGACCAAAGTTCTTAATGGCAAGGTGTCTCTCTTCACCTCTTACAGAACCGTCCAGCCGCTCGTAGCTATAGCCTTTCCAAACAACAAAGTGTACGTTTCTGATTTGCATTTTATCACCTTCAACTCCTCTTTTTCTTTCCAGTGACCCTGACTCTCAGACTGTCAACAAAGGTTAATTTAGCTAGATCTGAAGCAGAAACTCTTAGCATTTAATTCACTGCATGGAAACAAGATGGGGAAATACAAAGCCAAAGCATAAGAACATTAACCCAGAGTCCCATTTCAGACTATACTGTGCTGGCTCCACACTACAAGCCAATAACCACCATATCTTTCTTATACAAGCTTCTACTGCTTTCAATGTGTGCTTCCCTGTGAGCAAGCAGTATGGGAAATGGCCTTACATTTGGCTTTTTAGTGCAACATTAGTTGTCCAAATCCATAAACACCAAAGAAAAGCCTCTTTCATGGGAAGTCCTAAGTACACATGGAGCTATGTGGGTTGAAACAGAAGAAAATGTCTCAAGATCCCTTTGGCAGCCTTGCCAAAACAATCACATTGAGGCCTCACTGCCAACAACTATTTTAATCAAAAACTAATTTCCTGGCATAAATGTTGCACAATTTGTGTTCTGCACTGGACAAACTGAACTGAATGCTAATGGCTTTACTACAGCTACTTTGGGACTCAGGTACATAACTGACCATGGATATGTAATGAAACTTTGCTACCCTGCCATCTGTTAGCTCGATTTTATCAAGGAACCAAAGCTCAAGCTACTTTGAAGAACTACGCTAAAGTGCAAGTTCCTTGTAGGCAGCTAGCACAAAGATTAATTCAAATCCCAAGTCACAGTCAACTGTAAGAGTATGGTTTCTGTCTACTAAGAAGAAACAAATGCCCATCGCATTCTCCATCCCAGACATATCAGCCAAAACCAGACTAACACTATATGGCATAGATCAGTAAGATCCTTTGCTGCCAAACCATGCAGACCATACCTCTATAGTCCATGTAGTCTTGCAGAATGTCAAGCAGTTTAGTCATCTGAGAAAAGAGCAAGACACGATGGCCACTGGAAGAAGAATATGAGATGTCAGCAGCAACATTATACTGTGACAGCATTTCACAAAGCAGTAGAGGGGTTACAGTAGCTCAACCAGCCACTGTTACTTAGCAAGAGCTCACCACAACAATGCACTAAACCTCACAGAGTGATTGCCAACTCCCTCACATTTTCAGCCCCACATCCAAATGTAGCCAGACAGCCCCACCTGATAGCATCAGCTGCCACGTGTAGAGTGTGGACTCACAGGTAACAAGGCTCTGGCACAACCCTGCTGCTGGCTAAATGCACCTTGGCAAGGACCCAGAGAATCCTGGCTAAAAGAATGCTCAGTTTGAATGTAGTGCCATGAGGGTGTTCACCACGTGACTTGCCACACTAGATTGCACTCTAACAATATAACATAAAACATCTTATATATAGGGAAAAATGTAGTATCAGCATCTCTGTGACAGAATATAACTTCCCATCCAGCAAATGATCCTCAGTGCCCATATATAATTGCAAACAGCATTTAAGTGAGAAATCAACTCTCCTTGCTCTGGGCCTCGGGCAGTGTGAGAGTGCTTTGTGTGAGAGTGCTTTGTTTAAATCAACAACATTTGCAAGTTCAGGAGTCGCACAGGGCTATCCTTGTGGCAAAGACATCAAAGGGGGAGAGGCATCCACTCACAATACGTTGTACAGAAGGAAGACAGAGCCCTCCACTACTGCATCAGAACTTCCCTTCTAAAGCTCTGTACTTTGAAAGTACTCAGAGGGAAACTGCAGCCCAATTAAGAAAGCAGATAGAATTTATGAACTGTGCAGGAGGTATCAAACAAGAACATGTATGAGAACACAAACTGTGATTTGATTGGTCCACCTGAGGTCTGTAGGGAGATATTTAAGGTTGTTTTGTGTTACAGGTTCTGAAGTCACCAGAGGTCAAGATCAGGAGTTTTGAATATTGGTTCCAAACCTAAAATTTCAGCTTATTCTGGGGCTTTGGTCCTGTCAAATTTCTTTTTCAGGCTGACTGTGCATTCTGCCTCCTGGGCTAATAGAAGCACTGCAGTGCAAAATACCCAAACTGATGCACTGGAAGCTACTCTCATGAAATTCAATAAAAACATATATGCTGAAAGCCCTGTCAGATATATATTCTCCCAGGTCCCCAGCATAACTTTAGCAATATATGAGAGCAGGTGAGAATTAGTGAAGTGTTTTGAGAAATGTTTAAAGGGAAGCTACAATTTTTTTTTTTGAGAGTCCTCTATAGCCTGTAATGCAGTTGTTTGTACCGAGATGATCTCCTTGTGGTAGCTAGTAGCATCCTTTAAATAGGGCAGTGCTTGTGTTGTGGTATCTGCACAATCTATGGATAAATAAGGCAACTTTCCTTCTTAGTTTATCTTTTCTCCCTATGTTAACTCCATCTTATCTTCCTCATCCTAACACAACATACCCATCATACAAGAATGAAAGGAGTTTATCCAACAAACACAGTTTGCCGCTGGCTTCAACAATGTGATCTCCAATCTCAAAGGGCTCTGGCTCAACACCTGGAAAAGAAATGGGTTTCAGAACTTAATTATACAGATAGCAACTCAGTGATCAACCTTTAAATGACTACGTTGCCAAATACTGCCAAGCAGACTCCCAGGATGCTTGCTTGTTTGAAAAATGATCATCTTTGTCTAAAAAACAAAACCACCCTCAGTACTCCAGGAAGTACCTCACAAAATGAAATGTTATTTCACTGTTTAGGGGAGAGAAGATGAACTTACGACAAATCAAGTGGTGAGCTGAAGTGGAAAATTTAAACTTCACAAGCCTCTATTTTCATCATCACTGATGAATTGTTCTGTGTTGGAACTGGTCAAATCCACAGCTGGTGCAATACTGTTTATTACTTGCCCCTTCTAAGCAAATATTTAAATTAAAAAAAAAAAAAAAACATACAGAAAACAGAAAAAAAAATTCTATTTCAAAAGAGAGAAGAATGTTTTCTTACCATTGAAAAGGTACGGGTGGGCAACACACTTCCGAAGCTGTATTAAGACATTCTGAAGTGTAACCTTCCTTCCTGTTTCACCTTCAAATGCATCTGGAACAAAGTGCACAGAAAAAAGAACTGAGCAGGGAAGCCCATGCTTCACCAATGGTGTGACTGAGAACACCTAAGCACTGCTTTGCACTGCTGCAGCATTGAAGTAACTCTTTGCACATCATTTTTGTATTTGACTTTCCATCCCAAGACTGATACACCTGTTCTCATGAGTGAAATAAAAATTCCCTCACTTTTTCTTTTTTTGAGAGAGAGAGAGAGAGAGAGAGAGAGACAGAGACAGAGACAGCGCCTTTACTACTTTGCCTTGTCAAAACCTCCAGAATTTTCTCAACTCCTTGGAAAGAGCCAATGACATTTTCTTAAGAGTGCATTACAGATCTAGAAATTGTCAAAACTGATTTGTTACAGATCATTTGAACTTTCCAAGAACAAAACCAAAAAAGTAATACAACACAGTAAAGATCTCCCTGAGTAACCAGGAAGTTAAGAAGAGATGCATATTTCTGGGGGGAAAACATAGAGACGTGGACATTGCTAACTCTAGAAGATTCAGCTTTGATGGTGATGATGCAAAGCATGGTGGCTCCTCAATGCAGCAGGCATTAGCTCTGGAACAGAGTCACTGTCCCCCCAGTTACAGTTTCCCTACAACAAAAAAAACACTGACAAACCACATCTGGTATATAGAAATGAAAAAGGAGGATTTCAGAGAACAAAATATGTTCTCTTTCATCTCTCTGGATGCTCTGTTACAGTTAATTCATACATGAAGTTCCAAGGAGTGAGCTGTTAGGACAAGGATCTGTGGCTGCATTGTCCGTATGGTCCTGTGGTTTGCTAAGGCACTCCAATCTACATCCAGCAGGTTTCAATTTGCTATGTGAGATTTCTACTACTGCTGGAAAATTTGTAGAGACATAGAATTTCCTGTATAACCTTTTTTGTTTGAACGCAAAAAGAAAGGACAGGAGCAGGCTTACTTGTTCATGAGATTTTTAATTACTAGCTGATCCAAAGCAGATTCTTGAAGCTGTCCCTCCTCAGCTCTGAGAGAGACCAGCTCTAGATTCATACATCTCTTCCTCTATCACAGGGTAAAATTATAAATCAAGCAGCCCAAAAAAAAAAAATCAACCAATAGAATTTAAATGCCTCAGTTACCTAGATCTTTTGTCAAAATAGCTTTGTAGTACTTCCTCTGCAGAGCTGACATTCCATGGTACAAAACCACTTCCACCTTCTTCGGAAGGTCTGCAGTCACCTCGGACTTGACTCTTCGAAGCAAAAATGGTTGCAGAAGATTGTGCAATTCTTTGGCTATTCAGAAGCAAGTTATAACAAATTACCAATGAAGCATAAGGGATTTATACAGTATCTTCACAACTATACTTTCAAAAATAAACGTATAAAGGAATCTTAATGAAATTATCCTAGCCCAGTTTTACAGAGAAAGCAGAAGAGTTGCACACCTAAAGTACTTAGCAGCCACACTAAGATCAGTAACTGTTACTTTTACAATGTGCCTGCCACCCAGTCAAGATAACAGCTGGTCATGATTCAAGTATAGCATCAGTTGTTACTTACCTGGCTCACTCTCCTTTTCAACTGCTTGGTAATACTCAACAAACTCTTTCACTTGTCTTCTAGGAAAAATATCAGGTTCAATAAAGCTGAGTAAGGAGTACAGTTCTTGGAGGCTGTTCTGGATTGGAGTGCCTGTGAGTAGCAGGCTGAAACCTACTGGGAGCTGAAAGAATCAACATCAAAACAAAACGACAAGGAGAGAGCATTTGGAATGAAAAGTTAATGTACAGCTCCACCCATTTCCCTCTTATGCTTAGGTAAAGGCAGGTGGCATAGAAATGCCTGCAGAATACTGCAAATGCCAGCCAAAACCATATTAAATATGGTATAGTGTGATTGTCAAACAGCCCTATCAAACTTAGGCTGGCACCAGTGCAAAGAAGACAGCATAAGCAAATTAAGAACAAAATGCAAAAAACAAAATTAGAATTCCTAGATCCAATACTGCATACTCACTGTTATGACAGACAACTAGAAAATGCTGCTGAAATAAGACAGCAAAATGAAATTACTAACGAGCACACTCCATTTCTACTTTCTGATCTACTCTGACAATCAGCGACATTATCTGCTCCATGCTGCATACAGCAATCTCTGGAAAGGGAGTTGGGAATACTGTTGAAAAAAACAAAAAAAAAACCAAAAAAAAAAAAAAAAAAACAACCAAGTCTCTTCTCAAGAAAATACATCAGGAGAGCTAAGGTGAATCACTGCTATTTCTTTTCAACTTCAACTGAATCTTCTAAATGATTCAGGAGCTGAGCTTTTCAGGATTTTTTTTTTTTTTTTAAATGTACATTTAGAGGCATTGCAGCTCATCATTGCTGATGCCAGTCCTGATGTAATGTCCCTGTTTTACTGCCGTGACAAGAAGTGCTTTCATTTCATTCACAAGAAAGTAAGGGCACTTTCTTATCCAGGACAGCCCAAGGGAAGCTGGAGCAATTCTAATAATTTCAATAAACAAGCATGGCTCTATTAAGTGAGACAATGGAAATCAACAGTTCATGACCCAGGGTGCCATAAATGAGGCAAGGGTTCCTTCACCCTCCCAAATCTGGAGATACCCTCTTTGTCACTTTATGCAGTCTTACACTGGTCAGATTCCTAACACTTCAGTAGTACAGCTGTGCTTCAGTGCTATGTTCAGTTTCTTTACATTTTTCAGTCTCTCGAATTGCTCCAGTGACTCAAGTACAAACAAGAGCCAAAATGAGAGACAAGCTCCAAATACTGCCCAGCTCCAAGGCCAGAACCATAGGCCCTTCTCACTCTGCCACTATGTGGATCTGTTCAACAATTCTGATGGAAATGATGGACCTGGTTGTGGCTCAGGGTTAATTAGAATACAATACAGAGAAATAAACAGAACATCTGTCTCCTATAGTGAAAAGTCCTCATACAGAGAAAGATAGCTAGTATATTTTACCTCAGTAAGCGTTTCGTACAGCAGAGAGTTCTGATTTTTCAGTCTGTGAGCTTCATCTACAACCAAGGCAGCCCAGTCAAAACTGTGAACAAACAACACAGCATCTCCAATTACTTGCAGAGAAATCACTACTGCCAATGCAAAAAGACTGAAATAAGTGATGGATTTGTTTGGCTGAACTCAAGAGGCTCCCACTCCGTGAACCACAGGCAAGCATCACAAATGTGGTGGAACAGTGGGAGGAATTCACAAGTACAGGTTTTCAAGAGCCAATACAGCTTCTTAGGTACAGCCTGAAATCAAAACTAAGTAAGTTCATTCGAATTTGCTGTCTCTCTCTCCACCTCCACTTCTGTGGGAAAAATTGTGCAAGTAAAAAGTTAGTCAAACATTCAAGGAGATCTATTACGTGGAAAAAAAACATGAAATTAGGCCCTTACACCCAAGTAAAAACCCAGCAACGATGACGAGCTAGTGATTACACAGGTGACCTTTTGCAAATCATCCAAGAGTGGAATTTCAGCTCAGTCCACGCACCATCACATTGTATAGGCTGCAGAATCACTTGCTCCCTACTAGATCCACCAGATTTAATACAAACTCTTTTCAGCACTCAATACTCATTTCTGCTAACTGTGAGGATTTCAACTCCCACGTTACAGAGTGACTTCCACACAGTTCTGGCTGATGGATAGGCAGGGAGGAGAGAGCATGACCCTCCAGCTTTTCTTACCCACACACCTTTCTTCTCAGTAGAATACAAGGGCTGGAATCACATGTATCTATGTTTTCCCCACTGCTCTGTTCACATATATCTTAAGTGACATTAAGGACTCTACACTGCAAGTTGGTAAAGGAGTCTGATCATAATCAAAAAATGCCTTTGGCTCTTGTAAAAAGTGGAGGATCTTGCACACAGATAAACATACATTTCAGAAATTTCTGACAGACTTGCAGAATTAAATTAATAATAGTAATAACAACCTGTACTCACAATTTGAGAAATGCTGCATCTTTCAGACAAATCTGCAATGAAAGAAAATAAAATTGTTACTTACAACTTAACACATAGTTCAAAAGAGAGCATCTTTCCGTTTAATTGCGAACTGTGGTGAAATAGTGCAGGACTGGAGTGAAGTCAGTTACCAAGGAAAGTAACATAACAGATAACGTAACCACAAGCTTTAGCAACTTTTCATTTTAATGCTCCTCTGGCAAAGCATTAGTAATAAAACCTCAGAGAATTTGTGGAAATTTTCAGACAAGCCTGTAACATTTGTTCATACCATTCACACTCTCTAAGAAACACCATGCACCTTCAGCACTACAGTCTTTCTGACTCTAAGCAAACACACACTTCAGTGGATTCATCTGACCTGCTAATATCCTAAAGTGCTCACATTACTTGTCCAACTTCAGATTTGAGGAGGAAGAGAAACTGGATCAATTGATAAGCCTTAAGAAGCACAGAATTTTATCATCTGAACAACAGAGATGGAAAAAATACTAGCTAAGTCAGTATCTCCACGTGCCTCATTGTTTTGTCAGCATTGCTTTAGCATGAGCGCCTCCACTTATCACATTCAGGACAAGGCTTATCACTGCACTCCTGCTTGTGCACTGTGAACCTGCATATTTTTCTACAGTGATCAGCACAGGTCATGGCTCCTAGAGGAAGGAAATGGTAAAATACTTGAGAGGGAAAGCAAAGGGGCAAAAGGAAGAGGAGATCAAGCAGGGGAAACAAAAGAAGCTGCAAGAAGCTTTCTCATTTAATTTCAAATCGGTTTGTTTGTTAAGAGGTTGTTAAAATAAAAATCAAAGCACTGATACAAAGTAACACCTAAGTGGAAATAAATCATAAGAGAAGGATGAAAGCTTTTTCCCACTGGACATAACTAAGCACCTGGCTGTTCAGAACCCAAAGCAGTGATCAAGGAAGCAATCCTACTGGTTCTCTGTAAAGCACTGATTGGATTCAGCCCCCAATTCCATCAGTTTTAATATAAACCTTTTACAGTCCATTTTTGGTTGAGAAGGGCATGCAAAAGAGGTAGAGACATAAACAAGCTCTTTCAAAGTGTTCCTGCAGTGACCAATTAATAGAATCTTAATAAACATCACACATGTACGTTTTCCATTAAATACAGAAGATTTGTAAGGCAACATAGAAGGGCAAATGAAAATGCCATGTAGCATCAGTTAAAGATGTTTCTGATTTTGATTTGTTTATTCAAGGTGTGATACAGCCATGTGGTAAAGCTAGGGTTATATCAGATTATCTTCAGAGCACAAAAACTGCAGCAACTTAGATGAGCAGGTGATGTGGGCTGCAAAGTAGGAAATCACTGAGGAAGATCAGAGTACAGCAGGCAAAAGCTGAAGTGTACAAAGGTATGGAAAAGGCAAGGAAAAAACCTGAGACTTCTTTTCAAGTGACAAAGACAACATGTACCTCATATGTTGTTAAGAGCACGTGGAAGTGAGATTGCTCTTTCAGGTTGTGCTGCAGTTCGGATCGCTCCTCCTTGTTGCCAATGTACGTCACAAAGGAGAGACCTGGGGCAAACCTGTCGTCAAGAGAAAGACAGCAAGAAAAAGATAGCACCTTGTTCTCCTGGGAGCTGGATCTCAGCTCTTGAATCTATCTCCTTCCTGGTTAACTTGCATCCCAGCCTGGCACCTGAGCTGCTGGTTCTGGTTTGGACAAATGCACATAAATTGGTTTCTCCTAGATTTCCAAGTTTGACACAGATGATGGAAAACCAATCAAACAGTCCATCTGCTATTCAAAACTGAAAAAGCTCATGAAAAGCAAGCGATTCTCTGGCTGGGAGCACAAAATTGGTCCAGAGGTAGCTAAAGTATAGATGAACAATGTCTGCAGCAAGTAGTTCCAAGACAGGGCTCCAAAAATCTAGCTCTCATAGCGAAAGCAGATAAAAATCAGTTCCATGGAAGAGTTGGAACCATAAAGTTCTTCCTTACTTAATCCCACTACCAATGCCTACCTATTGTTCCAACATAGCTGTTCACTACTGAAGTTTACCATATTAAGTCATACAAAGATGCACTTTTTCCCAGCTATTCCAGCTGCTTGTTTATCCAAATCAGGCCAAATCATTTCAAAATCTAACCTCAATAATTTTTGTTTCTGACACAGCACTGCTTAACAACCACACAGAAATACAGTGTGTTTATATATAATACAGCTATATGAAATACAGCTGTTCTAATCTAAGACTTTCAGGCACTCCTCTTAAAAACAATGTTCGGGCTCAAGCCTAAAAACATACAGATTCTGGGCATAGCAAACTGGCCCAGATGCTGTACCCCAGTGAATATGGGTTGCATGCATGGATATAAGGTATTTTAGATGCGTGTGTAAGCATGCCAAGAAACTCACTATTCAGCTTGGATCTTACCTTTCATCATACAGAATCCTGGCTGTCTTCAGCAGAATTTGCCTAACAAAGGCTGAGCATGGGGGTTAGAAAAAAAACAAGCACAAAGCTAGTGCAGGTATATCTACTGACAGTCATCCAACGCTGTAAGTTGGATGAACACGTGGATATGACAGCACTGCACAGGCTATGCATTAACTGCAAGCAGCACATACATCAATTTGTTGTTTAGTACCATATAATCAATGGATATTAAGATGCTATAATTGCAAAAAGAACAAGAGAGTTAGGCAAAGTAGACTAAGATAACAGGAGAGAATAAATGGAAGGCTTACCCTTACGCTAGGCTCAACTACAAAAAAAAAAACCACCAGAACAGAGGATCTCCAGATGAGATCCTTCCCCACTGGTAGCCAGCTCTTAAATAGGTCTAGGAGGACCTAGCCTGGCTCCACCCCTTCCAGCAGCACAGGTGAATTGCCTTCACCTGTGCTCCTGTGGCTGCCTCATGGCTCGCCTCAGGTGATCAATCAGAGCTTCAGGCCATGACTCAGCAGCTCCCATACAGGTAGCTTCCCTCATTTGTTTTCTTCCTTTTGAAAGGAAGAAAATTGCTAGACTGAGCATATTTGAAGAGGGTCTTTGTAACTCATCATTCAAGACTATAATGAGTCGGACTGTTGTTTAAACTTACCTCTCCAGTTCCTCCTTCCAGTTAGTCAGAACAGACAGAGGACAAAGTATCAGGAATCTCTCTTTGTTTGTTAATTTTTTTGTCAAGTAAAGAAGAAGAGAAATAGTCTAGAAGGCAAAAAAAAAAAGTATTTTTTTTTAATAACAAGGAAATTCCTGAACTTGCATAAACTGAGCATGGGGGAGGTCCCCTTGAGGTTTGTAGCCGATTTCCCACAAGTTCTCCAACACAAATCAGAGCTAAGAGAATACCAAAGGAGATCCATCATCAATGAAATAAAAGCTTACATCCTAAAACATTACCTCACCATCTATAGCCATTTTCCAAAGACGTTTTCCCAACAGTCACAAAGATCTACTATACATCACTTTCTAAAGGTGCCAGTTTGTTATTTAAGACTCGTCTGAAGCCAAACCACAATCATCATTCACTCCAACAAAACTGAATCCCATTTAAAAAATAAAATTAAAAAAAAACCCTGGAAAATATCTATGTGTACTCAACTTTAATCCACGTGTTGACAGACTCAAAAATCATCCTACTGTAGGTGCATCGAAATGATATCACTGGCTCCATACTCACTGTGTTAACTAGTTAACATTACTTGTAAACTACTATGAATTATGCATTCATACGTCTGTGTAAAATGGGTTTTACAACCCTCCTCAAACTTTTTTGGAGCATTGCTCAGGACCTAGCAGGAGTATTACATGATTAAGGAACAAAAAAAAGAGCTCTCTCTTATGAGTAAGGACTTCAGCATGTGGCTGCTTATATGCTTAGGGTGCTTTTTTCATTTTGCGGGAAGCCTGAGCTAAAAAAGTTAGGCAAAAGTCATTTTTCAGAAGATGACACACCTGACAAGTCTTCCCAAGACCCATCTCGTCACCCAGGATACAGCCATGCTGGACTTGGTAGCATTGCACCAGCCAGTTTACACCATCTAATTGATATGGACGAAGCTTAATGCCTGTGAATAAAAGCAATCTGTTAATGTCACATAGCCATCCAATACACTGTATGCACAGCTGGAAGTCACCAGAAGCAGGTCTTGCACAGGTCTGACCTTCCAACCAGCTGCATTACAGCAAAAGCAGCCAGGCTTTGAGCAGGAGCTGCATTACCCTGCTAGAGAGCAGAAGCACTGCTGTTACAGCAAACAGATTACATCAAACCATATTCAGGAACTTGGATGCACAAAAATGTCCCCAAGTCATTACAAAGGCCTGTATATGGAATCCAGTGCAATAATCAGCCTGCCATGTTCCTGACAGACAGCTTGAATTCAGAGGAGATTCAGGTTAGACATTAGGAGGAAGTTTTTCACACAGAGGGTGGTCACACACTGAACAGGTTGTCCAAGGAGGCTGTGGATGCCCCATCCCTGGAGGCATTCAAGGCCAGGCTGGATGTGGCTCTGGGCAGCCTGGTCTGGTGGTTGGTGACCCTGCACACAGAAGGGGGGTTGAAACTACATGAGCATTGTGGTCCTTTTCAACGCATTCTATGATTCTATGATTCCAGCTTCAGACACATTTTAAACACATAAGCATGACTTCCAGGGACACTCTTTAGGCTATTATTTTAGAAATCTTCTTCTATAGCAGTCCACAGGAACATAATGACCACTTTCTAATAAGATGCTTTCCAGCTTAAGCTAGAACAGATCTCAATTGCAGATCCCTGTCACCAAGACAGAGCAACCCTTATTAATGGATATGATGTACCAAAGCAAACACAAGTCAAAGTTTTCAAGATCTTTTCTTGCATCTGAACTTAAGTAGTGGAAGAGACCTTTAAAAGTCGTTTAGTCCACCAGGCTGCACAGAAACATTTTAGCTTTAACAGAATCATAGCATTATAGAATGGCCTGGCTTTAAAAGGTCCACAAAGATCATCTAGTTTTAACCCCCTGCTGTGTGCAGGGTTACCAACCACCAGACCAGGCTGCCCAGAGCCACATCCAGCCTGGCCTTGAATGCCTCCAAGGATGGGGCATCCACAACAGCTCAGTAAACCAAGATACTGCTCTGAAGATCGAACGGAAAAGGTAAAGTGACTGAAAGAGGTAGGAAGGATTGTAAGAAGCAACGAGCCTAGGACATAACATTCGGTGTGGCAGCGATAGCCGTGGTTGAACAGGCCCAGGGCCACTCGTCGTACCGGCTGCAGGGTAGCACACGGGATCGGTGCGTATCCCCAGCGCCGGGCGCACTGACCTGTCAGCCCCCAGCGGGACACGTCCTCCTCCTGCACGCCCAGCCCTCCCGCCCGAGCCCTGCCGGCGCGGCGCAGCGCCTGCAAGAAGCGGGACATGGCGGGCAGCGCTCGCCGCGCGGGAAACCCTCCGATCCCGCCCCGCGGGGGGCCGGCAGCGGGCGGGCAGAAGCCGAGCACCGCCCCGCCGCCATAGCGGATTGCCGGCTCCGGCTTCGGCTGGAAGCGACGCGATGGAGCTGGCGTTGCTGTTGCTGCTCGGCGCGCTGCTGCCCGCCTCCGCCCTGTACCTGTGCTGCGTGCAGCGGCACACGGGCAGCGCGGCCGCAACGCTGCACCGTCGGGAGCCGGGCCGAGCCGCAGCCTCTCGCCCGCTGCGGGACGCCGTGAGCGCGGGGTGGGGTGGACGGGGCGGTGGGCTGCGGGGAGCGGGCCCGGCGCTCACCTCTCGCCTCCTCTCCGCAGTGGGCCCCGAGGCTGTGCGGCTTCTGGCTGCGGCTCTTCGTACACACGGCGAACACGGTGAGCGGGCGCGGCGGGCACAAGATGTCCGCCGCGGGGACGGGACGGGTGCGGAACCCCGCGGGCACGGGGGAATTTGGATCGCTCAGCCCCTCTGATTGGGGATCTCACAGAGAGGCTGCGGACAGCTGTCCTCAGCGGGGCTCGGACTGCGCTGGGGTTTGTCTGTGCTCGGAGGGCTGCTGGCGAGGAGGGCTGTGGAGCAGGTGCAGCTGCAGGCGCGCGTGTGGGAGTGTCTCCTTCCCTTTGTGGGGGCTGCTGGTGTCGGTCTCTGTAGTGGTTGGCTTTGGGTCTGCTCTGCTCTGCCTCTCGTTTCGGGGTTGTACACGCTCCTATCTTATTGTGCAACCTGCCCTGGATCTGGGAGCCATGCGAGCTTACCTCGTAAGGGGTTTTGTGCCTGGGTGTAATGACCGGAACGGCTTTTAGTTTTTTGCTTTGGATGTGTCTGGTGTGCGTGACCCTGGGCTTATTTCCTTTCCTGTCATTCCCCCTGCATGGAGACATAACTAAATGATCTTTAAGGTCCCCTCCAACCTATGCCATTCTGTGGTGGCCTGGGCTCCTGCGCTTCACAACCCCAAGGCTTGGGAGAGAGTGGCTGGAAAGCTACTTAGAGGTAAAGGACCTGGGGGTGTTGGTCGATGCTTGGCAGAATGTGAGCCAGCAGTATGCCTAGGTGGTCAAGAAGGCCAATGGCATCCTGGCTGGTATCAGAAACAGTGCATCCAGCAGGAGCAGAGAGGTGATTGTCCCCCCCAGGTTCAACCCTGGTGAGGCAGCATTTCAAGTACTGTGATCAGTTTTGGGCCCCTTGCTACAAGAAAGACATCAGGGCCTCAGAGTGTGTTTGGAGAAAGGCAACAGAGCTGGTGAAGGATCTGGAGTGCAAATCTTTTGGAGAGTGGTTGAAGGAGATGGGATTGTTCAGACGGGAGAAGAGGATGCTCAGGGGAGACCTTATCGCTCACTACAACTACCTGAAGGGAGATTGCAGTGAAGGGACTCTTCTCCCAGGTAACAGCAATAGGACGAGAGAGAGTGGCCTCAGGTTCCACTAGGGAAGGTTCAGGTTGGATATTAGGAAATGTCTTATCAGCAAGAGTGGTGAGGCGTTGGCACAGGCTGCCCAGGGAGGTGGTCTCACTGTCCCTGGAGATAAGGGTAGATGTGACACTGAGGAACATATTCTAGAGCAGTCACAGGCATGAACTGATGATTGTACTCGATAATCTAATTGGTCTTTCCAGCTTTATGATTCTGTGATTCTCGATCTCACTCTGGATTTTATTGTTGCACTGTACATAGGTTAGGAGCAATGCCTTTTCAAATAGAAACCAATTCTTACACAATGTGTGAAGCAACATATCACTTCATGTATGTAGGAGTGGGAGCCTTGCTTCAGAGTTGTGCTGGGAGCTGGGGCTGCACTCCTTTCACGTGTTTTGAAAACTGATTCTTGGGCTATTATAGCAAGCTAGAACAAGGCTAATCTCCCTGAGACTGCTGATATTGCTACACTGGGAACCGTGGTGTACAGAGACTGCTTTCAGCTGCCTGCTACCTACATTTCTCATGCTTTTCCAAGTTGACTCAGTTTACTTTAGGAAAGATGTTAACAGAGAGATAAATGAAATTATAATAAGCTTCTGCCTTATCCAATGTTTGCATGATGCTCTGAGCACCAGTAGGAGCTATGTAGATGCCTCTTAACAGTGCTGCAGCCTGCAAGTGCAGGCTTTCTGGAGCTGTCAGGGAAGAAAAAATGAATGTTCCTGTCGGATAGCCAGGAGAATACAGTCTTTATGATTCTATAAATGTGCATGAGGTGGGAAAAGCATTTCAGATCAATTTTGTGGCCTGAAATACAAGTGCATGCTCCGCAGGGTGCTTGGAGACTGCAGCAATTGTGAATGTATTTAGCATTCCTTGTCTCATGAGAAAGATGCCCTGGTCAAAGCTATTGCAAATCAATGTTTCTGCTTGCCTTCTTCTAGGCTTTTGGACAGATCTTGTTACTGCCGCTTTTACTAAGGTAAGAGGGGAGTGTTATCTCCTCCAAGGTTGTTCCCTATTAAAAGTTACCTGAAATGACCTTTTTAAAGAGGGAAGTCTCATAATGAGTGAAGAGTAAGATTAATTCACAGTTTGCTTACTAGATTTTTTAACTGCTCTTGTTTTCTCGACCCTTTACCAGAGGAAATTAAGCATTTTCCACACTCAAGCAGGCTCATAGAAGCTAAATTCACCAGGTTGTCTCTTTGCTCTTCGATGCTTTTGCTAAAGAGCAGTCTTTCAAAGCTTGTGGATGTGAAAATTTGCAGTGTTCACCACCAGCAGTGGTGAAATTGTAGTATTGGGAAAATGAGACCAGGCACGAAGCTCAGAGGTTTTAATGTGCTCTTTTAAAAGAGATTCATCATTATCATTATGAATAGCCTTCTGTCACACTTGTGTTTTTCTTTAGAAACTGAACTTTCAAGTGTGTATTGTGCTACAAGCTGCTGAGGTGCCAGGAACTTCAGGGTCACTCTTGACATGCATACATTGCCTGCAGTTGGGTGATCACCTGTGCAGATTCCAGGATAGTAAACGTGCTTGGTTCCCCAGAGTTTTTGCTTTGGGTATGGGCTTTTTAAGTAAAGGAAACCCAGACAGTTGTCACAGCTGTTATGCAGAAGATCATTTCTTAACATCATGATAGGAGCTGGATTTCCTTACTTCATTGTGTTACTCCAAGCCCTGAACCTGTGCTGATCCAGTTCCCATTACATTTGGTTGCAAATAAGCTGTGTTGAGGCAGGTCATGGATTAAGTCTGAAGAGTTGCCTGCTTTAGCAGGCTTAGTGCTTGAATGTATGGCTCATGCTTCTTTCTTCTCTTCTCCTCTCCTTTCCTGTCTTTTTTGGTCTGTGGGTGATATATCTGATTAGAGTGAATGGGAAAACTTTCAGCAGTTCTTTCCCAGCTTGGATTTATGGAGGCTGGCTGGCTTTATGTCGAAAGGTGGGAGGCTCTGTTAAGCAAGCAGGATAGATTTGGTGCTGCCTTCGGCAAGGCTTTAGAAAGGTGTGAAAGATTATTTTGTAACTGTTGCAACTCCCTGCTGTGGGAGCAGACTGCTGCAACAAAATGTTCTTGGGTAAAATTCATTTGGAACAGTATGGAAAAATTAGTCATGGAGGAGCTTGGATCTTCCAGCATTCTCTCTCTCTCTCTTGCAGGCTGAACAACTTCACCCTCATGCGTTCTCTTGACATTCATGAAGATCCCACGTTTATCCCAGAGGTCGCTGCAGAGGTTGCAGAAGACAAGTCTGAGACTAAAAGCACTTTGGATATCATCAAGCAGCTGATAGATACAAGGTAAGTGTGGGTTGGTTAAGAGTGGAGTGAAAGAACACACACACACGCGCTCCGTGGTATTAGGAGGAAACAGTCATTCTGAGTCATCTGGATTAAAATCTCTTTCCATGACCACAGAATTTGACAAAACAAGTAGTGCTGTCAGATCTCTCCTTTCGTAATTTATAAATTACGAGTAGTTAACATGCACTGTGAATTAGCTAGCTAGCTTCAGGCAGACTGCTTTGCTCTGGTTGCACTATTGGAGTAGATACACTTAGTGGCTGGCTACTAGATGCATACATCCCTTAAGTGAATTTACAGGTGTGCTGTTTCTTACCTGCAACGTATTTCAAAGAGAAAACAGATTGCTGAGAGGAGAGAAGAAGCTAAGGTGCAAAGCAAACAGTTCACAAGAAATCAGGTTTTGTTACTTAGGTTGCTTGGAGAATGGATTGTTTAGCTTCTTAATTGCAGCCTGTGCTTGATTAAACCCCATCACATTAGGGGTGAAATGTTACCAGGACATCCCATTTCTATCCAGAACCTGATGCTGAGTTGAAGGCAGCTGGACTGCTATGAATACTTTCCCCATCTGGTTTTGTTGTTAGCTGTGTGTCTGTCTAACAGTTACTGAAGATTTCTGTGTGCTTTACCAGTGTCTCAGGGAGTAGGTTCTTTGCATATGTCTGAGTTTTTAGCAAGACAAAGTCTGCTTCCCGCTTGAGTTCTTAAGTTAGGGCAAGGGAAATCATTCAGTCCCTTCACACTGTAGGTGGAAGGATATGGTTCCTGCAGGCAGTGGTCAAAGTGAGTGCAGCCTTCTGGTTCTTATGTCCTCAGCTCTAACAATGAGTACTACAGGGCAGGATACTTGAATCTAACCTCTTCCCTGCGTAGCGCATGGTGAGAGCCATGCACTGTCCTGCTCCAGGACGTGGCCTCTGAGTTGGGTGATGATATGGGGACATGACAGGAATAGTGATTGTAGCCAGTTGTTTTAATCATTCTGTGTTTGTCCGACTGTGATGAGGAATGGATCTATTTATCAAAAGTCAGAGCTACTGACTTCTTTGTTTTTAAGCAGTTTGATGTGAATTGCCATGTGTGCTGCATAGCACCTCTTCTCCATCCCACACCAGACACTGGACATGCTGCTGGCTATGTTGCTAATGAACAGAGTCAGCACCAAAGTCAGAGATATCAACTTAAAGAAGCGTGTTT